AGCTACCAAATGCAGATTGGGTGCACTATCAAAAAGTTTTCGAATACCAGTTCTTAAAAAATAATAGCTAAGTTTAACTGCCGTTGTATTAAATAAAAGGTCGGCTCGATAACTACAATAGCCCGAGGAGCTAAAACTAGGCCATGCACGCTGCGTAGGCAACGGTCATTGTAAAACAACACTCAGTTCAAACCTAAGTAAACGCATTAGTCTCACCAAAACAAGTTCTCGTACGATTACTTGATCACCATAACTTTTTCACTTCACAATTGGAAAATTATTGTAAAAGGTGTTGCGAGTTTTTTTTTTCACTCACCGGGAGCAGACGCCATTTTAGTAAGTTCGAACAAGCCGACGAGACGCTGCTAAATGTAAGACGAGGTTCCACACCGCGCTAAAGAACCACGAAGTCTCGCGAGATCATTGTCATACAGCGATGTCGTGTTGTGAATGTAGCCCTTAGTCATAAAAACCGGGTTATTTATTTATTTATTTATTTATTTATTTATTTATTTATATGTGGTACTGATACTTTTGGCCACAGTGCTGAAAATGTTTATTACCAATGTTTTACTCTGCATGTATTGTTGCTTATTCAAATCTCTCAAACTCTCTGGTCCCATAGTTTTCTGACTCAGAAAACTATGGGTCAGAAAAAAAAGAGGACAACCAATTTGAACATACAGATAAGTCTACTACAGAAATCAAGGATTTTCAAACTCCTTAAAGGTTGTTGTCTGTCCTGCAACGTTCAGATGCGTCCCTTGTCCAACACTCCAGAATCAAATCAGTTGATGTTGACATTATAATTCATACCGATGTCTTTGTTATAATTTAGTTTCAATGAAAGCCATTTTCTCTGTCACAGAATTCAAGTAAGAATATGCAGCAAGACTTGACGTCTTTTTAGATTACTGTTAATAAAAAAGGAAACCATGCATCTATTTCCAACCACCGTTGTACAACACTTTGTGGCGGTCGATCATAGAGAATGTCAAATAATGATGTTGAAGTGTGTAGTGGTAGCAGAACAAAATCTGAACATAAAAAAAGAAAAAGTACAAAGAAATAACTCAAGTACAAGTAAAAAGTGTCTGATCAGAAGACAGATGACAATACAAAGTTGGGTGCTAATTCTAATATTTTGAAGACTGACGTGGAAAAAAAATACTTATAAATAAATATTTTCATTCCAAAATACTTATAAATAAATATTTTTATTCCAAAATACAAAAATTCTTCCAAACTATTTTTTCAACATAACACTTAGAACATGTAAAATGCAAAGTGCTTCCAGAGACAATATTTGCTATGTTAAATAATAGTATCCACCTCTAATTGTGAGTACAGAAAGCACGCATCCAGGGTGACCTGTAGGTGGCGGTAAAACGTTGTAAATTAGAAACATAAAGAAGAAGAAGAATGTTTGCGGAAGTTTGCATCCTTTCGAATTCTTTGCATCTCGAAGCTAAAATTGTTTTTACTTGCGCTACTTTTAATATATAAAGTGGCGCAACAAATGTAAACTATAGTTAATTATCTACCATTTTTTTGCTTCAAAAACCACAAGTCCTAGTAATCGCTATTAGCAGTGAATTACCTGTATAGGCTTTAGCTCTCAGTCTTCTTCTATTGTAGCGCGAAAAATAAGATGGTTATGCATATTTAAAATTTCATCGGATATAATTATTCTATGATGAACCTAATCAAATATTTGCTTGCCTGGTTTAATGCCGTGAAAGCCAGTGGAGAAGGTGCAGCTGATGTGAAATGATGCTGAGCCGTGTCCGGTCAGTGAGGTCCTTGTTTGGGTCGGACCGTCCTGGATTCTGCCTGGTAACTTTTGCTCTGATTGCATTTATGCTGCTTATGTATGCTGGGGGCATCCAGGCAAGTCTGAGCGTGGGCCCAGGAGGATACTTCCCAAGGTTCATAGGTAGCCCTGCTGTTACATCTAATGAACATCTTCAAAACACCGCTTCAGATTTACCCAAAGTAAGCATGTGGATTATTTTTTTGATTCCTCCACAGATGTGTTTCTGTATGCTCTCAGTCATGATGACTCGCCCTCGTTGCTGATCAGCATCGTCCTACTCCTAGTGCTGGGATCAGGTCAAGAGCGTCGCTGGGGCTCAGTGGCCTTCCTGCTCATGTCCATCCTCACAATCACCATGCTAGCATTCATTTACACTCTGGTGCTGTTTGTGGTTGGAGGGGAGGCGAGTCGGATCTGTGGCTTCTCTGCCATCCAGCTTGCTCTATTTACGGCTCAGTGTCGGCAGGCCACACAGAGGAGGCTGCTGAGGTATTTACCAGTCTGGCTCCTGCCGTGGCTTTTTCTGCTCAGCGGTTTGCTGCTTCTACCAGGAACACCAGCGCTGCTTCACCTCTGTGCAATATGCATCGGACACAACTGTATCCTTTTCTGTGTATGTAATCTGTAAATGCTTGTCAGGACTGGTACATCCTATAAACCAAAAGTTTGAGTTTGTATGTCTTTGTGATTGAGATCTATTCCTTTGTGTCACTTTTTTTAAATTATTGTAAGTCTTTGGATAATGTTTCTTGTTCAGGCCATTCTTTATTTTGGGCAGTCAGCATATGTTTGTGGAGTTTTAGGTCTCAGGGATTTTTTACATTTGTATGTTTGGCTTTTCTGTGTCTATCTTTGGATGTTGTGTACTTCTTTGGGGATGCAGATTGTGTTATTAAGATAAGATCAAGACTCTGGACCCAAGACACTCTATATCAAATCAAAATCAAATAAAATTTTATTTGTATAGCACATTTCAGCAGCAAGGCATTTCAAAAACTCAAAAACACAAAGTCATGCAACATAGAATAAACAATACATTGTTACATATTACATTTCAAATACAATTCTAAACAGGTGTGTTTTTAGTTGAGATTTAAAGGAAGTCAGGGTTTCTGCTGTTTTACAGTTTTCTGGAAGTTTGTTCCAAATTTTTGGTGCATAGATGCTGAAAGCTGCTTCTCTCCTCTCTTGGTTCTGGTTCGGGGATGCAGAGCAGACCAGAACCAGAAGACCTAAGAGGTCGGGAAGGTTGATACAACAACAGCAGATCTTTGAGGTATTGTGGTGCTAAACCGTTCAGGGATTTGTAAACTAACAAGAGTATTTTAAAATCTATTCTTTGAGCTACAGGGAGCGAGTGGAGGGACTTTAAAACTGGTGTTATGTGCTCTATCTTCCTGGTTTAGTGAGAACACGAGCAGCAGCGTTCTGGATCAGCTGCAGCTGTTTGATTGATTTGTTGGACAGTCCTGTGAAGACGCTGTTACAATAATCAATGTGACTAAAGATAAACGCATGATGAGTTTCTCTAGATCTGGCTGAGACAGTAGTCCTCTAATCCTGGAGATGTTCTTCAGGTGATAGAAGGCCGACTTTGTAATCGTCTTTATGTGGCTCGCAAGGTTCAAGTCCAAGTCCATCACTACTCCCAGGTTTCGGGCCTGATCGCTAGTTTTTAGTTGTAATGCATTGACTTTAGATTGTTCCTCTTTAGGTCCAAAAATAATGACTTCAGTTTTGTTTCTGTTCAGCTGGAGAAAGTTTTGGCACATCCACGCATTTATCTGTTCTAAACATTTATTCAGTGATTGGATGGGTTCAAAGTCACCTGGTGACATCGTAATGTAGAGCTGTGTGTCATCCACATAGTTATGGTAGCTAATATTATTTCCTGTTATAACCTGCGCTACAATAGTTTTGTGGTTTATTTAGGCTAAATGTTCCCCCCACTAAATCTATAATGAAATCTTTCAAACTTTGGTGACTGTCAAGTTATCCCCCATCTCCTTAATTAAACATGCAGATCATCAGCCTTTCATTGGGGTGCTACAGGATCTGGAGGAGGCCAACATTTTTGCTTTCATTCCTAATTGGATGTATGTTCCTACTTTGTCCAGGGTCAGATTGCCAACATTTGCCACCTCACATAGGTATTATAAGTCAATTACATTAAACATCCTACTATCCCTTTTAAATATGTTCTTGATCATTTTCATATTTTGTTGCAGCACATCCACATAAAATGTTGAAAACTGTATTATTTTCCTGCTGCTCAGTACTTTGTGTAAAGTAATGGTCATAATGTGAGTAAATGTAAAAATATAATAATTTACCCAAAAGCAAATTTCACAATTTGTCAATTGCTTAGATCGCTTCCCTTGGCCATGGCTGTGGATTTCGCATCTCCTCCACCAGTGAGGGACCCCACAGGTTACAACCTCCACCCTTGGATGGAGCCTCCATCACCTGCCTGGGTGATGGAGGAGCAGACTGCTGCTGTGTCTGAGGCAGAAGTGCTGGAGGAACAGATGCTCCGAGCCGGGATAATGGCCTCCTTACAGGACACTCCTGACACAAAAGTAGAGGTCCCAAAGTCATCAGTTTCATCTCTGCGGTTAGTGGAGTTGATGGCGTGTATTTTATAAATAAACATATTTGTTTTTCACTTAATACTTTTTCAATCCTAAACTTTGTATTTACATGCGAATGTCTGTGTTTGTTTTCTGCCAGGCTTCAGCAGCTGGAGAAGATGGGCTTCCCCACAGAGAAAGCTGTGGTGGCGTTAGCAGCAACCAAGCAGCTAGATGGCGCCATCTCGCTACTTATTGAAGACAGCATTGGAGAACAAGCTGTGGTGGTATCTAAAGGAAAGAGCCATCCAACACAGCAGAGTCCCTAAACAAGTTGACACTACTGGTTATGTTTGCACTTTTGAATCAAACTGGAGACGCATCATGCTTGGGTTTTGCTGAGCTTTTATATTTTCCCTGTGGGCTACATGAAGAACCTTTAATAACTAAACTCTCCGGAAAATGTGTACAAAAAGCTGAAATGTTCCCAAATAAAAGGTTTTTTTATTTCCAAACCTGCAAATCAGAGAGGGTGGATGTCAGTTTATTTTTTTTTTCAGTTGTAAAAGTGTTTAATGAATACTTTTGTACCACCAATTAAAAATGGTGACATGTTAAAATAATAAAAACATTTTATTACACTTATCTAAGCAGAATTATCTTAATACAGTACATTTGCAAGAAAAGAAAAAGAAAATCAAAATACAAAATGGTTACATAACAGCTTACAACATAAACTACAATTTTAAATAGTTTCACAATAACTTTGATATAAGATGAAAAATTGTTTTCATCAGAGCAGTTTAAGCAGTCATAGAACACAACAGTGGTAAAATATGTTCAAGTTCAAATAACTGTTTCCTCTGTGTGTGTTTGGGATCCCAGTCAGCAGAGTGGTGTTTTAATTTCAACACATTCTGTTTTCAGACTGCAGCACCATCTAACATAGATGCCTATGTTTGAGCAGATTTTATGTCAAAAACAATTATTAGTCACTTACACAAAACAGAAAGAAAAGACACCAGAAAGCTTCTAATCACCATTTAAAAACACATCAAATAGAGATGACTTCATCTTTTTAGTGCACTACATAACACTGAGTTAAACAATAAGATGAAAATATATGAATACTAGAGGAAGGAGGATGTCATTTTGTAACACAGACTGTACAAGCTCAAGAGTATTTAAATAACGGACTCTCTTCAGATTGCAGACAAACTGTGAAAGCAGCAAAACCTCACACTGATTTCTACTTCTCATTTCTCTAAATGAACCCTTACCGTCTAGAACTGTAACGACCACCAAGGATGAAAATCTTCATTCTTCTTTCAACATGTTCACAGATGTTTTATTTTTTTTAGGATTCAGATGGAGAGGGAAATCAAAGCAGTTCTCAGGTAGCAGATGAATCAGGGTGTCATGGAGTTATCAGTTGAGTTTCCCTGAGGTGTTCCCCATTCCTAACTATTTAATAAAAGCCCAGACTGGGCACCAGATAAGGTCTGGATGTGCTGAATGCCGGTGAGAGACCTGTTGGAGGGGAAGGCCCAGTCAGTGATCCTCAGGGTCAATGTAGAGGAAAGGGGTGCTATTTTCCTTGGACCTTGGTGTCGGTGAACAGAGGAGAAGCAAGTCGATGTGGAGACGCACCTGCTCGCTTATCTCTGTAGAAACTAGGGGAGGATGTGCCGAATGGTCCGTCCCCAGACCCTAGATCAGGCTCTGTTGAAGAAAGACAGCGGTTGGAAAGGGGCCTCCCTGTCCATCAACATGTGTGGCCATGCAGACTCTTCAGTCTTTAGAAAAAGTAAAATTAAGACTTTTCTCAATTTTAGCATTACACATATCTGTAGAACTTCATCTGTGTTTGGATGGGTTTTTTTAAAAATTAAGTTGAGTTATAAAAATAGTAGTTTAATCCAAACAAGTTATTAGAGGACATTTTTCCTTTGATTGCTGTCCCCTTTTTTTAATCTATCTGTAAAAATCCAGAAATGTACTACCGGTTATTAAGATTGTTGTAATTAAACCTTTACTTAAGAAACCTTTTCTTGATTAAGAGGCCTGAATGAATTGAATATTGTTCCTTTTTCCATCTGTAATTCTTGAGAAAATCGTTGCTGATCAAGTGTTAAAGGATTTTTCACATAAAGGATCTGTTTAAAGAGTCTCAATCAATCACTCTATAAGCTTAGGCTTCTACTATTTTCAATTAATTCAATATTTGCAAAAAAAAAATTTGTATGTATTGTATGTTCTCTCACCAAGTTTTCTCTCTATAGAAGGTAGCCTGGCATTTCTGTTTCCTCCATCTTCTTTTTTCATGCAAGATAAACTTTCCCGTTTCATTCTTTTATATTTCCTAGACAGAGACACTGAAGAACTGCCACTCATTAAATTTGCTCTGTTTTTCATCAGAAGGATTGTACGACTGGCCGAAGACTTTATCCAAGTCTATGCCTAAATTAACTACCACTGCCATTAACTCTTAATTAATTCTTAATATTACAATATTATATTGCATTATATAATATATTAAATTACAGCAGTTAGATGTTCAAATAATAAAACAAAACAAAATAAAATATATAATAATTATTCCTGTTACAAAGCAGTTATTCCTTTCCACTGTCACCATTTGGTTGCTTGGATTCCTGCAAAGTCATTGACAGTTGGGTCTTTTAGACATATAACCTTTTCTGATTGTAATGATAAAGTGAACTTGATCATTATTTTATACCTAGTCAATTTGGAATGCAACTAATTAAATGCAAATCTGTCAACTGGATTTAATTTGATTTGTTAAAAATGTTTGAGGAATTATAATTGCATGTAATATTGCAGACTCTCTATCTCTATGCTTAGACTCGCTATCTTTCTGATAACACATTTATAAGTAAATAGCCATGTTGTTACAAAACAGCAATTCTGCCAGATTTATTACATTTCTAAAAAGGCTAAAATTATCCATCATTATGCAGCAAAGTACAAACAAAACAGTGAAACAAAGCATTTGAGAAGCACCACTTTGCATTTTTTTCCTCTATATAATTTGTCATTTCTACAAGGTGTAAAAGAAAGAAAGTACCCCAAAAAATCTAATTCTAAGCAAAATAAATGACTCAGTGAGAGGAATCAATGTTATGTGTTTAATGCTCAAAACGCTGCCAACCCAAATTAAATATCTGATTTATTTGCTTCTCAGACCCAACGGACCAGCAAAATTATTCATATCATTCAAACCTTCTCACATTACAGCCACAAGTTTCTCTATGTTTTATTGAGATTTAATGTAAGATCAAAAATATTATTAATCCAGGCCTCATACTTGTTTTAGAAAACAATAGGAAACAGTAAACTCAACTCAACATGAGGAAAGACTTGAAGATTGATGTTTGCAGAAACTCTCCGTTCAATCTGCATGATGTGAATCAAGTGTAGATCTACAAAGCTTTGCCTCATGAGGACTGATAATGCAAGGCCATTTTCCCATTTGTGTTGGTTTATTGTAAAATCCCAACAAAATGATTGAAGTTTATAGTTGTAACATTATGAAAAGTGGGAAAGTTAAAGGAGTATGAACACAAAATAATGTACACACACACACACTCATATATATATATATATATATATATATATATATATATATATATATATATATATATATATATATATATATATATATATATATATATATATATATATATATATATATATATATAAGTTATGTTAAACAGATCTAGAATTTAAAATGCTTCTTTTATATAAAGAGGCTTAGAAAATAATTTAGCATCTGCTGTCATCAAAACATGAATACAAAGTAACTTTCAACTTTACATCACATTTAAAAACAGACGGTGATTATATATCCTACATTTCTAACACTTGATCTATGTTTTCTTCATCTAATTGAGAAATGAGGGTCAGCAGGACTGTGGGTGTTTCAGCATTACCTGGCCAGATGATAGCCTCCAACAGTGTCACCCTGCGAGCCAGAAGCTCAAGGTCAGCTTGCAAATCTTGAAACATCTGCAAGCTAATGTCCTATCAGAGAGCAGTGACAGGGGGACTTTGTGAGGCTGCAGAAAAGACTGTCCAAGTCCTGGGGCTGCCTGTGACTGCTCCCGCCCTCTGTCCCAGCAGTTAGGCATGGTGGGAGTACGGGCCCACCTGCAGCTGTGACCCCTGCCTAAAGCTGACCTTTCCGCAGGCCTCCTACTCACCATGAATACCGATCATAGTCTCAAGGATTAAAACCCTCTCGGCTAAGATCTTCAGCGCCTCTCTGATCTGATGTATGCCGTCCCCCTGTGAAGATAGATACAGCCGTCAAGGTAAAGAGCAGAAGCTAGAGGACTGCTCGCCAAGATGCAAGTCAGGTTTTCAATACAGTTTAGCTGTTAGAAGGTTAAAACAGTCCACATATCTGCCCAGCATGACTATCCATTCACTATAGTTCTCTCTATGTTTCCTTTATAAACATGCTGCTAAGTATTATAATTCTCTGCCATGCTGGGCAGGCAAACATCAGCATGCACATGACAACCAGTATCACGTGGCAGCATAACACAGCTGAGTCACACTGTCATGGAAGAGATGACCATGCCATCTGCATTCACTTAGCTTATTTTTAGCTCCACAGTGTTCAGTCTCAATGCAGCAGAGACACAGAAGTTACCCACTGTCAGTCATCTGACAGTGGTCCGTCAGAGGAGGTTTACTCTTACATCTGATTTGTCTTTTGTTAAGGGTTAAGGCAGCGACCTCACGGGATCTTTACCTTCAAAAGTAACAAAAGTACTGCAACAAGAGATGTAAGACAGACAGAGACAGCATTATGCATCATGATCCTCAAAGAGACATGCAAAGAAACATGGCTGAAGGTTGTGAATGGTTTGTTTAGAAAAACATGCGAACAAAAAACATACCAAGACTTGTGTGCAACGGAAAACGGCAAAGCTGCTTTAGAATATTGCTCTGGAAGAGTACGTTAGTCAAGTTCTTGGGGAGTAATTGAAACATCTGCACATTACAGACTGTGTGCAGACATACATCAACAATTATAGCTCCCCGGGGAAAAGATTGAGTGACTTTTGTACATTTCTGACATCTCCTGCAGGAACTAGATAAATAGAGGACATCTTTTATTCTATTCTTTTAATACTGCCAAAGAAATCTCCATCCAAAAAAATGCTAAATTTTTTATGCCATTATGTTATTAATGGAATAAAAAGCTAAGCATCCTGTGTAAAATTTTTAAACGGCTCCTAATTTCATCGCACTTTCCTTTCCAGGACCTGGGGCCTCATGCATAAAAGAGTACGCAGTTTTTACACTAAAACTTGGCTTACGGAAAAATTTAGAAAAGTGAGGTGCACAAAAAATATCGGATGCATAAAGCTGTGTGCACGCACGTGGCCTCGCACCTTCCCTTTATAAATCCTAATTCGCAGGAAATAGAGCGCAGCTGCTGGTCCACCCTGTTGAGACCCATAAATACATATGTAAATGAGTATAAATACCTGGAAGTCTGTCACCACGTCAGTTATTATGACTCTCTCATAATCAGATTGCTTCTCTGATTAATGAGCTCAGTTCAAGTATATTCCAATCTGTGGTAATACCTAAAGCAAGCACTGTTAACAGGTGTGCTACTGTGAACAGTAGTTCACAATTCCTTTTCTTTAAAAAAAGAAACAATCAAATTGAAATAACTGTATTGTGTTTAGCTTTAAACCTACATCTAAACTGTTAAAGTTGGGCTCCAAGGAACAACTACCGTAAATACAACATCACTGATGCTAGCAAATTAGTGAGTGACCATTTTCTGCTAACTTTTTATTGACACCAAGTTTTCCAACTAAAATAGCAACTTTGCCATTTTCCTTTTTAATTCCACAGTATTAGTTTACATACTAAATATATTAACTAGTTTATTTTAAAAGCTAGAAGAAAGAGTTTATGCAGCATTGTGCTTTTCATGCAAGGCAATACAGCGGAAGAAAAGGGATAGCTGTATCCACTCCACCCATATCGGAGCACAACACCTTAAAACCCAACTACTGACACACAATGGAGACATTTGGCATATACATCTCATCTATTTCATTGAGATTCCTGCATAGAAAACCAAGCAAATTGGTGAGAGTTAATATTGAACATTTGGAACAAAGCAAAATGAAGATTTTTGCACCAGTTAAGAGTTGCTGTTCTTGTGCTGGTATAGGTGTTTATATGCATATGCCAAAATAAGAAGCTGAAAAGGTGACTGTGAATGATAGTCATGGGACAGTAGCTCGCAGTGGGAGTCAGACAGCTTTAGGGTCAAGAGGAGAGGGGACAGCAGTCCAGAGCACACCCCAAGGACCAACAAAAACACACTTACACAAACAAATCAGACAGATCAAACACATAGAGGGCAACATTCTAGTCTAAAAAACAATATGAAACAGATAAAAACTGATCTATTGATAGGTAGAAATGTATGGGATTGATCAAAAGAGGTGCAACTGAACAAACCAATTTGTGGAGAGTCACAATGATTGGAAAAAGATCATAACCATAACCTCGGATGTTGGGTCATGGTTATTCTTTGGAAAAGATTCACTGCAGTTCAAAGATGTGATGGCTAAATAAAGATATCTTACATTTGGATTGTTCTTGTAAAATGAGAAAGATGTCAAAGAAAACTTAGAGTTAGACACAGAAAATATTTTGATGCTCAAGAAAAAAAAACAAAAGCAAAATCAAAATCATGTGAAAAGCTTTCTAAATTGTCTTTGTGTTACCCGGTGAGCTACAATCAACCACAATCTTACCGGCAAGCCTTTCTCCCCTGGCTCTCCTTTGGGACCTGGTGCTCCCTGAGAAGAGGAGAGAATAAGTTTCGCTTTAAAACTCAAAGCTGTTTAGAGCCCCAGAAAAAAAGAAAAAAAAAACATTCAGTTTATTAACTGTGCGTCTCATGGACTGTGTGCTTTTATTGCTGCTGCCCAGGGTGGTTTACCACAACATAACCAATATGACGTGTTGATGTTTCCCTCCAAAACCTACAAAGCAGAGTAGAGGTGACTTACTGGGTCACCTCTGAAGCCTCTTTCTCCTGGATAACCAAGAGGACCCTAAAAAAACAAAATACAAGGTAGTTGCATTACAGTGTTCAATCATTAAAAAAAATAAAGACTCCACTTTCCATACTTTTTGACATGAAATCAAGAAACCTTTTTTAGGTCACTTAGGATTACCAAAGTTATTTTGATTTGTTGTACACTAGAAAAATAGACAGAGGGATATTTTTTATTTTGCTCATATTCAGACATTTACATAACATTTTCTAAAATTGGCTTTTAAGCTGCATGGCTTAGATCAAAAGTTTTGAGTATCTTTCTATAAGCTTGTCGCTACAGTTTACTGGAGTTTAGGCCATTCCTCCAGAAAAACTGAGTCAGTTTTGTTGATCAACTTGTGCTCCCACACCATTACACAAACCTTACACTTCACTGGAAGTAGGGTTGTGTGATTGGCCTCCCCAAAACATCGACTTCGATGTCCTTAAGTGAGTTTGTAAATAAGTTGGCTGAAGATTAACATTACCATTCATTTGTGAGATCAATGTCCGTCAGAGTTGCTCCATTTTCTCTTTGTTTCATTAAGTATAATATCTTGGTAGTTACAGAACAGAAAGTAAGATCCTTACAGATTTGCTTCTTGACTTGTTGAAGGTACATCTTATCTAAAATACTCACCCTTTCCCCACGATCTCCTTTTGGCCCCACTGGCCCTGGTGCCCCAGGAGTTCCAGGTCTCCCCTTGTAATCAGAAAGCATTTGAGATGACATTTATGTAATTTTAAATATGATTATATATACATATGACAAGATGTATATATTTGTATAGAAGTAAGTCTGACAGTGCTAATAGCAACTGATGACTGTGTTGCATGTAAGGTAGCTTACGTTCTGTCCTGATGGACCAGGAGGTCCTACTGGGCCTCTGGGTCCTGGGGGGCCTGCGTGTAGAAAAACTGAGTCATTATTTCTCTCTGGTGAAGATGGCAAAACTCACTCTGCTTGTTGTTTGAAGGAACCCTTTGAGTTTCATGAACTCAACCTTCTCAGACTTCAATAACCGACAGTGAAAGTTGGATAAAACGTATACCGTAAGAGCTTTGCATGCAGAGGTATTTTCAATTACAGGCTCACCAACAGGCCCAGGAGGACCCTGAGGTCCTGGAACAGGCGAACCTCTGGCGTCGTGGAAAGTGTTGGTGAAGAAAGGATCTTTTCCACTATCTGGGGATGAAAGACAATCAATGAATCATGAAGTTTCTGGCAAAAGGAACAGAACTGTGAAGATAATCTGCAACACCTTACGTGATAACAAACATGTGTCACTGACAATACTTAACCTTTTTGTCCCATAATTAGATCCACAATAGAATCTCCTATAAAGCTGCTTTGTATACCGCGGATGCAGCAGCCTGTCACTGAAGGAGCAACTCCAGCTGAGCTTCACACATGGGGTGAGAGACATTGTCCAATAGTGATGTTATTGACTTCTTTTGTATTTATGTCTTAATATAAAGCATTTTATTGTTGCTCTGTCAGTGTATTTAGAGTCTATGTTCTTTTGAAGTATGAAGTTCTGCTTCAATATCAAGTCTTTCACAGCCTCTAACAAGTTTCCTCCACTATTATCCTGTATTTATCTCATTCTTGCCAATCTGATAAGCTTCACTATACCTATCAAAATAATAAAAGTATTCTAACAGTGTGATGCAGCCAGCACTGTGTTTCTTTGTGGGAACAGTGCCGTGTTTGCATGTTCCACAAAGTCAAAAAGATACATTTATACTACACTTTGGATAGATTCATTTATATGAACACCCATGTCTTGGGTGTTCATATTCTGTAAAAATAACAGAAACAGTTTAATGTGGCAGTAGAAACTCCTTTGAGTCCAGTGAAACGTCGCTTTGAAAACTTGATATGACCTCTAGAGGGCAGTATTTTCAAAAAGAAAAACAAAAAACAAAAATGAAATTTCATGCAGAGCTCAGCAAGACTGGCGGCTGAACTGAATTGCCATCAAAAGCATCCTGGTCATCATTAAATCCAGGTTGGATGGCAATTAAAGGTTAGTTTCGTTATGTTTAAAGGTCTCCATACATTTTATGTGGAATTCACTCAGTCAAACCACATGTACTCACAGCATTTGAGCAAGAGGAAGAGGGTGGCAAACATGTGTGTGACGAAGGAAGTGTGTGGCTGCTGGGTCATTTTATTCTAACAGGAAACAAGATCCAATCACAGGCCTGAGACCTCACAGATACTGAAACGGACAGAGGAAGAGGAAGAAGAAAATGATGAGGACGGCTGACAGTCATAAACATCCTCCCTCTGCCTGAGGTGCAGACACCACTAAGAGATCGGGGGGAGAGGTGACACCTCTCTTCTTCCCCATTTACAACTCAGTGAGGCTTAGTTAGATGGATTAAACAAGCAGACGCTTCTAACACTGACATATTCCCACAGTCATCTTCTTTGCTGCTGATGCACATCCAGTGGCCAAATAAGCCAGTGTTTTCCAAAGGAAGCTCGGCGCAGACCCGCCCCCTCCGTTACTTTGAAGTGAAAGAAATAGCCCACAGTTTGGAAATCATCACGCCAACCCCCGCACCCCCACGGCTCTCCACAGCGGAACCCAGAGCTTACAAATCTGTGTGTCGCATACTTTGTTTTACCACCGGACTCGAATGTAAAACCCACCCATGTGTTGACCTTGAAAGAGCCCATCCGTCTCCCGCTCCCCTCCCTCAGCTGTCTAGATGGCCTACATCTGGAAACCGTTCCGTGACGTCGGCTGTGGACAGGTTCTCACCTCAGAATAGGAAGTCCGCACTAATTTTACAGATTTTGCATCTGGTAAAACACTATTTGGTTGTGATTTACTCTTCTGGTAGCAGAACAACGTCAGAGGAAACAGGCAGTAGCTAAAAGATGAACACCAATCTTCATGTTTTTATACAATTTCTGCATTTTTGTAAAGAGTTCTGAATACAACATTTAATAAAACTGCACCACTTTGTTTATGAAAAAACCGAACTAAAGATTTGTGATGATGAAGACTAAAGTTTTCATTGCCTGAACCTAATAAAAAAAAACTTTCATCCTTCTCTGACATAGATATGTTTATTTGCTATTCATTTCCTTAATAATCCCTCTTAGTATTTTTGGTTAAGGGGGCCTTGTAAGATTGTCCTTTTACCAATTCTTTTGTCAACCTTCCTGAGTCTCTCAAGGCACTTTCATCAGGGTCATGTAAAAAAACACACAAACCACAAACCCCCTATTATGGCTTTATCCTTTCACAGGCCTTGGGTGTTTTTACATCATTCAGCAGTGGATGTGGAACCAAAATGGTGTGTCCTACAACTTGTTGCAGACATATTAAGAACCATTTATGCTCGATGTAAAATGCAGATCGAACTTCTGAATTCATTTATCTCAAATCTTAGTCTGCCATCAAGGAGCTTGAGGATGCTTATCCAAATGCATCAAACAGAGTCAAAACCACTGTTAACAGGAGGGCCAATTTAGCATGTGATCCGCAAATGAACAAAGAAGAAGACATGTTGTGTTTTATTTATTGGGTTGACAGTGCACAGTACCATTGTTTCTTTTAGAAAGTTTAGATTTATTATACACCTTCTATGTTTTGAAACTAGAAGCCAACTCAGAACTGCTTTGCTTTACAACAATGATGACATTGTTGCTATAATGCCACTTAACAACATTGTTAATATGTTCAATATGCAAAACAGAGAGACATATTTATGTATGTGTATTTATGTAGGAGACATAAGTGGGCTTTAAGGAAAATCCCACAGTGATGAAGTCTAGAGTAGTCAGGTTTTCCACATTCCTTCTGTGAAAACAGTGATTTCATGCCAGTTTTGGAATGACCTTGGTCACGAGACGTAATTAACATGTGACATCACTGAAGTAAAGGATGATCTGAAAGGCGCTTCAGTTGCTACCCTGCCAGTTTCCCTGTTGTTACAACGTTGCTCTTTTGTGCTGCTGTGGATTTTTTGAAGTTTCTTTTGGCTCTAGTGACCTTTATTTGACAGTGATCTGACAGAGAAGTGAGTTGTTAGAGAGGGAAAGACATGTGGCAAAGGTCAGCAGGCCAGTACCAGAACCTGTGAGCCACATCAGGACTGAGTCCTCTGTATGGACTGTGTGTGTTACTCCTGAGACACAACCAGTCAATACAATAAAAAATGGTTATTGTAATTTTACAGTCTGGGCAGGACAAACAAAGCAACCTCTAAACTTTGGGACTACAGTATATTTCAATCAGAGCTGATTTAAATAACGGAGGTGACATGTAGCAATTCTCAATCTTTCCAAGGAGTGACTACCTGAAAAAAGGTTCCTGCAAAGACAATATTAATAACTCATTCAGGAGGTTGCAAAGGAACAGAATCTAAACTGCTGCAGGGCTTATTTGTCTCATTTAAGGTCTGTGTTCTTGATTCAATAATCAGAAGGGAACTGGGGACAAACAGCGTCCATGCTGCAGTTCCCAAGCCAAAACCCCTTCTGACCAACAAGAATGTGACAGTTTTATATTTGCCACAAAAAAAAAAAAAAAAAAAAAAAACAGAAAAAAAACACACATCCAAGTTGACAATACATCATTGGCAAAATAATTTGTGGACTGATATGAATACAACTTTTGAAAAGTTATGTCTGGCATGAACCTAAATTCAGAAAACAAACATCACACAAAAGCCAACCCTGAAAGCAGTTACTTACTGTGGTCAGGTTCTGGGATGCGGGCACCGGCTGGCGATGTTGGGCCTGGAGGCCCAGGTGGCCCAGGTGGCCCTGGTAGACCTCTCTCTCCCGGGTGTCCAGGTGGGCCGCGGGGTCCTACAGAAGGGACACAAGGTGACAAATTAGCACGGTGGCAGCGACACGGTACGTCATGGTAGGACTCAATCTTAATCTCCTTTGCTCAGAGGCATGTTGCATTGCAGACTGATGAATGACTGGGTCTGACATGCTGAAGGGAGAAAAAACTATGACAAAGAGCGGAGAGGGAAAATATTAGCGAAGGTGTTGATACAACTTGATGGTGTCTAGTTGATATGTGACTCCATGTGCACATATGGAGTAAAGTTCTGGGTTTGGGGGAATAAAGGGCACAGTGCGAATTGATTAAGTTTGTTACTCTAATTAACAGGAGGGTCATTAATAAATCTGTGCGAATAACTTGGTGGAACCTTAACTCAAATAAACAGAGTTAAAGTCAAGTCTTCCAGCAAGTGAAATGTTCTCTGTACCATCAGCTGTTCAGAGTAAACACACAGTTGTTCCTCCACAAAATCAACCACTGAAAACTTATAAGCCATAATTTCATAGTGACTTTAATGCTTGAATAGACTGAAAGCTCTGAGTAGAGGAATCTGGAGAAATACGGGATCCCTAAATGAAAAGTGTAGAGGATTCCAGTTCACAGCAGTCTTAAACAGGTTTCAAGCAAGCATCCAGTGAGAATGTCCCTTCACTTACTTTAGTCACTAATTTGAAGCTGGAAAAAGCATCACCACGTCATCTGACCTCATTTAGGCCATCACCTCTGTCCTTCCATCCCGTCAACTCTGAGGAAATTGTCAACTAAAGTCCAGTAATTACCGAAGTGCCTTGCAATGTTATTACAGCTTTGACTTTTCCACTTTGTGGCTTGTTTCTGTAAACCTTGATAGAAAAGAAAATCTTTCAGCATTTTGGCCACTTCTCAGATATTAACTCATCTATGGGATAGTGGTTTACATAAATACCCCAAGCAGCCCTTCAAAGTTACTGCAACATATCAGAGAAACGGTTTAAGTTTTTTCTGTACAGTTTCAGTCCCCTGCTAGTTCTGAGGGATGCTGTGACAAAATATGATAACATATTTGCAACTCAAAGTTCACTTTTCTCTTCTAATTTAGTAATTTATACATTACACTGGTCGCATTTTACCCCTGTGTTTATCTTGTACTTTAAATGAAAGACAAAAAAAAAAAAAAAAAAAAAAACCTTTCAGATACCATGAAGTAATGGAGACAGAAAAAACAATAACACCGCAGGCATATGGAAATCATAATGGAGCTGGGATTTGTATACGTACAGCTCATGCTTACTTCAGATTGAAGTCACATGGAGCGACTCAGAAAGTGGGTTTGTAGTTCAAGTTTCGCTCTAAATCTCACTTTCACCTAGTAGCCAACGCAAAGAAGGGTTCATATGTTAGCCTGAAAGGAGAAACACTCCGTCTGTGATCCAAAGCAGTCGATAGCAAGAGCAGATGTTGTGGCACAACTTAGACCACCATTTACTTTAGACTTTACAGTGGCAGCTAAAGGTAGACTAATTTTTTCTCAACAGGTCATTTGTTATTTGTCCACAAGGAGTAGTGAGATTTGGTTTTAAAGGAGAGATTGATGATTTGGCTTGACTCCAGGCTGATGACAATGAACAGCAGGACACAGAAGTGCGTGTGTGTGTGTGTGTGTGTGTGTGTGTGCGTGTGTGTGTGTGTGTGTGTGTGTGTGTCTGTGGGTGTGTGTGTATCGTGCCTCACAAAAGTATTGAATTCCTTAAATTTTGTCACATGTCTTCATGTTGTAATGACACAACTTCAAAGTATTTGGGTGGGAGGCGTTGGGGTATGTAGTTGACCAACATAAAGTAGCGCATAATTGTGAAGTGGAAGGAAATTGAAAAATGTATTCTCAATATTTTACAAGAAAGCCTGTGTGGTTTTGTTTTCAGCCCCCTTCACATCAACAAATGCAGCTGGACAACATCACACAAATGATAGAAACAACAGAAAAGTAAGGCATGCAATTTAAAGAAGGTTCAGGTTATAAAACCTAAAGTAGTGGTTAAAAATTTTTCAAACAAGAAGATGGTGCAACTGCAGGCTTAGTAAGACATGGAAACTGACAGCTACATGAGAATAGCGCTACATAGAGAAACAATCATGGTCCTTGGTATCTTATTTGCCACAAGCCATGTAGAGAGCAAACAGGTGGAAGATGGTGATCCGGCCAGATGAGTGAAAAGTTAAAATTTTTGGCACAATATGTTGACATTTCCAAGTCAAAGTCTAGAACTAAATCCAACTAAAGCAAGATTTGAAAATTGTAGTTCACAAATGCTCTTTTTCTAATCTGACTGAGCTTGAACTAGCTGTCAAATAAGGAAAGGGAGAAACACCGTCTTCAAATTGCATAGCTGGTAGAGACATTCCCTTAAGATCTGCAGTTGTAATTACACTGGTTCTAAAATATACAAAATCGATGGAGTTAAATGCATCCAGGTTACATATTTTAATGTACAAAAAATGATTAAAATAAGCTCATTATCCTTCCACTTCCCAATTATGCACTACTCTGTGTTGTGTTGGTTGCAGAAAAGCCACTTGTACACATAGCAGTTTATGGTTGCTGTAAAAAAAAAACCAAGAAATATGTCAAGGGTTGTGTCCTTTTGCAAGGCACTGAATGCAGTCTGTAAAAACCTTTAGCAGTACTTCTAGAAACAAATAACTTTAGATGCAAACCAATAAAGTGTAAATTCCCGGAACAGCCAGCAGACCTCAAAGGCCGCTGGAATGTTCCAGCTTTCAGAACTGGAGGGTCTTCAAGCTGACCAAAGACCAAAACCATTTCTGTGACAAACATTCTGGAGCTAAACATCACAAGTCAGATTTATCATCTATTGTTTCTGCTGCTTTATGGTCAGGACTAATCAGTTCAGCCATCTAGTTGCATTGACAATAATATGAGTTGTTAGAGGTCGTAACAATTGCTCTGCAGGACCAGCGAGTTTTTGTCTGGGGCACACAGAGAGCTCAATGTGCTTAATGATCAACTGGTTGAACAGTTTGTCTAATCTCAGATGTCTGTGTGGCTATTTTTTACCTGCTGGTCCTGGCAGTCCCTTCGATCCAGGAGCTCCAGATGGGCCCTTCGCTCCCACATCCCCCGGAGGCCCACTGGGACCTGGCAGCCCTTGAGATCCTGGCTTTCCTGCGAGTAAAGAAACAATCAGGAGTAATCATGAATCCCCTCACAGGTTTACATCCTGAATGATATCAGCTGAAACGCAACTGCAATTACAGCTCACCATCTCTGCCAGGAAGTCCATCTCTGCCCTTTTCACCCTGAGGACCTGAAGGAAAACAGGGAGATGCCTTCATTTGGAGGTTTACATCTGTGAAAAAATCTGAACTCAAGCCACCTGGAGAAGATGAAGTGTAAAATCCTTGGAGGCATTAAATCCATTTCTGTCCAAGTAACAGCTTTCCTGTGAAAGCAACAGATGTCTGTAGAGTAATATTGCTCTTATAATAGTGTATTATTGAAATGTTGATTTCGATGTGCCAAATAAGCCTGTTGTTAACAGAAACTTACGTTTTGTAGTTTCTGACTGGATGGCTAACATTACAAAACATTCAGATAAACTATGATTTATAACAAAGGCTCTTTAAAACAACTACAAAAAAACAACATAAAGCTTTTTTGGGCTTGTATGGCTGATGAATTTATTCATATCACCAAACTAAACTCAGCAAATTATCGACTATTTCAATCTGTGATGCTGAGATTTTATGTGATCTACCAAAACAAAGCAGAGCATAAATGTGAAGAAAAATAATAGATGTTTCTGTTTTATTTCAAACAAAAATCTGAAAAGTGCAGCATACTTTTCTGTTCAGTTGTTTTGATACTTTCTAGAACCAGCTTTTGCTACAATTACAGAAGCAAGTCTTTGTAGGTAAGTCTACCAACTTTTCACATCTAGAGCTGAGCTGGACGATATAAATAATACATAGCAGATATTTCTCTTTCTCAATTATGCTTCCAACTTCCTCTGTGACGGTTAGTATCTTGGGAACTATAATCTGTGTCAGGTGGAAGCAGTTACTGCTGTGTGAATATTATAAAGTGGATAAAAATGACAGCTGGTTTTCAATCTAAGCAGTCCTTTGTGATTTTATTATTGAATACTGATGTTGCAAGGGTGACAGATTTGGAATATATTGAGCAGCCATAATCTAGAGAATGAAATAGTTGAACCTCCATATGTACTTACTTAGGGTTGTACTTTGACTATACCATTCTAACATATGAATCTGCTGTGATGTAAAGCAGTTCACTATAGCTCGGCTGTATGTTTAGTGTTGATGCACTGCTGACAGGAGAATCTCAAACCCAAGCAATTGTTTTGAATGGATTTTGTTTAGGGACAACAGAGTATAAGAGGCCACTCATGCTGCAGTTTTATGCTTCCACTTTGTCAAAACTATTTTCTCCAACAAAAACAAAAGTATTTGCAGGGAAAACACAGGAAAAAGTGTGTAATTGTGCTCAGAGGAGCAGATTGCAACACATCCACTTTCACGCTAATGGGCTAATTTCATGTAAATAAATTTTGTGCTGATAAACTAGTTAGACTAAACAACATTTAACAGTTTTTCAGACCATGTGGTTTTTGATGTGCTGGACTAATCACGTTACATCCCAGAGTAGACATGCAAGGATCTTGCTTTAGTGAACAGAAACAAGTGTTTAAAGTACAGAATAAAGGATGTGAGGAAATAACCTGGAGTGAAAGTAATGATCATATTGAATGAATGGAAGGAAGGGTTGTTTTTGACAAAGTTAGAAAAAATTATCTGCTGGATTCTAAATAAAGTAAAATGTACATGTTCATCATCACACAGCGCCATGGGTTACCTGCAGGGCCCTGCTCACCAGGAGCTCCCTGAGCCGACACGGCCCCCATCAGTAACGAGGTCTCTGGAGACATTTCTCCTTTACTTTGTAGGTGGTGATGTGACGTGCTGCCCGGTGCTGTGAGCAGCTGCACCTGGGACAAAAAAAACACACACACACACACACACACAAAAACAGGTAATTTGATAACATCGTTAAATAAAAAAAGGCCTTTGATCTTTCCCAGTGATTCAGATGCAGCTTTCACCTTTGCCTCCAATGAGTTGAGCTTTTCACTCAAAGCTGTGATTCGACTGCAGTTCAGACAACCTGAAAGCCAGAAAACATTTCTTCAGTTGCAAGATGCCGGCATTGATGGATCTCTCTGTCATCTTGTTTTCATATAGGAATAGAAACATGTTCGTTCACAGCTCTTACTTGAGAGTGCCTCTCCTGTTCGTGCTGGGGGACGGCGTAGTGCGGAGGCTCTCCTGACTGCCTCTTGAGCAACGGCCAGGTTCCCTGGATCTGTGACCAAGACAAAAAAATAATAATGATATATAATATATATATATATAAAATTCCTCAAACTTTAAAGTATAATCATTAGATTTGGAAGCTTGCATATCCCTGATTAATGGTGGTAAAATGCAAACATAGCCTCCCTTTGTAAAATGAAACAAATTTACAAATGAAGAGAAAAAATATGATTCTGATTTCACAAACCCCTGAGGTCTTCACTGAATGCTGTATTTATGCTGGGAAGAAATTATGCACAGGCTTTCTGCCTGAAGGCTTTGAGATGTGTTGCATTTTATTTAGGAGTAGCAGAATTTAAACCATGCATCATTTTCCCTCTAAATGCTACCTTGTGTTCTGCAATAAACGATCCCAAAATGTACAAAAAAAGTTTGTGGTCGTAATGCGACAATTAAAAACGTGCAAGCGTGCGCGGTCAGTGTGTAGTTTATTTTGTCGTGTGCTGTTTTCTATCCCTCAGAGGAAGCCTTTCAATTTGTCAAATCTTCCCAGGGAGAAAAGAAATGTCGAAATCAACTGTGAGTGCAGCAGCTTGCGTCAGTGTTGCATTTCTCAAATTCAAATTGCACGCTTGCTGCGTCCTCGCTACGTTGTGTTCCTTTCCCATTGTTTCTTTATGCAGTTTTAATCTGCAGGGTTGGGGACTTGAGGCATGTAAAGAGAAACAATAGATCCCTTTGTGAGAAGAGAATGGGCTGTCTCAGCTCTCTTTCTGTCTTTCCTTCATTTTACAGAGTGTAGGAGTTTGTGTCCTGAGGTTCTGGGATGTTTTGAATGGGAAGACTTTTTGTGGAAATGCTAGACTGATTCCATTGTCCAGGCAGGCTTTGCCATGGTTGGCCCAGGTGCTTTTAAAACAAATAAGAGGCTGGGTTCAGAACCTCATTAGCCACCAGGAAGCATGTCTTTCCTTTCAGTGCCCCAGCTATACCAAGTGCTACAGTGAATGAAGCTATAAAGTAGCACCTGCAGCGCACAGCTGAGGCAATAGAGCCATATTCCCCTTAAACAGCTTCACTTGACATAGCTGCAGATGCCGTAATCCGCTGCAGGAAATCCGAGAGATTATTATCACACAGGAAAAATAAACATTGTACATAAACTTACAAAGAAACAGCAGTGAGAGTGATCACCTAAAAGTTTAAAACACAACGCACATGGTTCAGGGTAAAGTCAGACTGCTCCAATTATCCCCACTGCCCTCACCTTTGTGCTCATGATTTCAATGTTTGGGGTTGGGGGCATTTCTCAGCAGATTACATGTGTAGACAGACTCAAACAATCCACAACTTGAGATTGAAATGTTATGGCATGAGCTCTGCATGGCCCTCCTTACATGTTTCAGTAACAATATAAACTCTTGCACTGAGATGAGGAGAACACACATTCAGCCTCCCCTCCTCTCTCGCCCGTCTCACACGTCAGTCCACATGAGGGAAAGCTGCGGAGACAAAGGGAGGTGTGTATGTGTGTACATGTGCGAGCGCATCCCGCAGAGCCTCCCCGCAGAGTCCGGCTCATGTAGACGGCTGCTTTCAATTACAAAAGCAGGGGATCTGGGCCGGAAATATAGGTCTTACTCCTCCCCCTGCAACAGAACCTCTTGTCCTTTACAAGTAAAGAACATTTAAGATCGACTTCCCCCAAACTGAAGCTTTTGTGAAAGGAATTAGGTTTTGACACAAAACCCCTCTGACTCTGCTGCAAGCACCAAGAGCCGTGTGTTTATCTGCACCTCTGCAGACACAGACAGAGGATCACCAGCATACGTTGCTCTGTTAGCCAATAACAACATCATTACGCTGTATCGGCTCTTTGATCTCACTGACTAATTGTCCCAACTCGAGGGGTCGAAGAAATGTGACAATGTGTTTGACCTGTCCAGGCCCCGGTCACCCCAGTGTCCAATCATCAATCGAGCCAAGAGCTCTTCATTAGCGATACCCCTGAAGAGAGTGCAGCAGGCCGGAGACTGCGCCTTTTCTTATCTCAAACACGCAGAGAGTGCAGAGATTCGCTTGCAAGCACTTCCCGGCATGATCTTTGCTCCTGACGGAAAATCGGAGAATAACAAGTCAGATGTGAGGGCACCAAGTTAATCTTTTCCACTTTCATAATTACTGTGTGTGGTTAAGAAAATACGAAAGATGACTCATGGGGCTGTTGCAGCAAAGAGATTAACTTCCAAAGAACCTAAGACACTGTGTGAAATTTAAAAAAAGAAAGTGATGGAATTTAATAAAAATACCAAAAATGAACTCTGCTTCTTTGAATTTTCCATACTGTCCTGGAAGCTCTGATTGAACTGTTAAAGGTTTGCTCTGTGGGAAGCAAACCAGATTCTCACTAATTTTAAATAAAGACTTTTTCAAATTGCTTACGCTGTACTTTTAAGCTCCTTCTTTTTAAGAGGCGACTTATGCGCTCTGAGCTTTCCGTTGGAGATTAAGGCGAACAAAGGGGCAGCAGCTCTTGAAGGAAACATTTAACCACAAACTGCAGTCAGCAGACACAGCAGAGAGCTCAGTCCTGATCCATCTCTGTCTGGTTGATTAGCTGAGCTCAGCTCTGCAGCATCATTAGTGACCAGGTACTGACAGCTAGGCGAGGAGGGGAAGCGTTTGTCTCTGTCTCCATGCCAGACACACTTATGTCTGCTGCTGTCTTTACACGACACAGAGACAAGAGGTCTGTTTACATTAAACAATCGTTCACAGAGAGATCCTTTTTTTTTTGTTTCCTCTCCAAACAAGAGATAAATAAAAATGATATAGGTCTGGAGAAAATTAAGAGACCACTGCACTGAACTCCATTGAAAACCTCATGATTACTGCACCAAATATTGATTTCTGAACTCTTCCTGAGTTAAAACATTAGCATTGTTGTTTCTAAATGATTATGAACTTGTTTTCCTTGCATCTTTTGAGGTCTGAAAGCGCTGCACATTTTTTGTGATTTTGACCATGTATTCTAAAGTATTGCTTCCTCCATGTTTAATAATAAAATATGAATTAAATAATCATCTAATTTAGAAGTGTTGGTGGGATGTAGATGTGTAGCAAAGAAACTATGAGACTTTGAAAAATAACTCTACTGAAGTGCACACATTTTGAGTTTAAATCAAAAAGTTTAAATTAATTAGGAAATGTAAAGCTGTGCCTTCATGTAAAGAATTTCAATTACCAGAGAGAGCCAGATGGATTATTTATCCTTTCCTCAGCATGGGCAGCAGGACCAACACTCTTCCTCAGTGAATGACTCAGACATATGCCAGCTGGTACTGAAGTGTATTAGAGAAGATCCTCCCATTCTGTGGACTGGTCTCAGTCGGGTTACCTGGAAGTCGTCCGAAGAAACAAAACCTGCATCTAGACTCCAGTGTTTACATTTCTTTCCCAGGGTCTTGAGTTTCTTTTATTAGGTGTTCTGCCTAAATGTTAGAACAGTCTTCGTCATATCCTGACTTTAGAAACAAGCGGTCTCTGAGGCTGAGAGCTCATATTGGGGAGGTTCAGCTGTAATTTCAGGCGAGAAAGAAGCTTTGTCTTTCTATAACAGCTGGTCAGACAATTGATCCCCAAGTTATATCCAGACTTCCACAAAGTTCTAGTTGAAAACAAGCGCATCCCATAAGCCAAGTCACATTCGTTGTTTTATATAAGGCTGGGTGACAAGCTCCAAAAACACGTTGCAAACAAACCCGCACTGGGGCCGAGGCGAGAGTATACGGGGTCAGAGAGGTTTTCACCTCATGTGCACACATTTCACTTCATCAGTCAGCAACAACACGCGACATAAAGGAGGGAGACTCACCGTAGCACCCAATCATCACCTTTCACAGAAACATAAGTTACTTCCAAAGCAAACACGAATGAAACACATTTCATCTGGCTATGTCATAACACAGCAGTTTACTCACACCTATAATGGATATAAATGTTAGATACATTTGTGGATGTGGGTGCATACCTATTCATGCAGTTCACTTCTAATGTTTGGGTATCAACATTAGAGCTTCTAACTTCTGGCTAAACATTTAGCTTCTCTTGACTAAACATTTAGCTACCCTGGTTCACTAGTTTAATGGTTGGACCTGGTCAGACAAGGACAATGTTAGGGGAACATGTTTTCAGCAGGGTTGTGGTCATTAGGACATTTCTCATCTGAGATGTTATCATCCAAACGTAACTTTCTTCCACATAAGAAAGGAATTTGGTTCGGATGTTCAGTAGCAAATTAAAAAAATTTGGGTGAAGTTTTTTTTTTATGAACTGGAATGTGTCGCTGACCACAGTGAAGCAATGTGAACATTATCCTGGACTGATACGGTGCTGAAGAAGAAAAAAGCAACATTTGGTCCAAATGTTTTAGACAAACCAAAACTTCCTTCAGGAAGAAAATGGTGTGATCACACCAGGCAAGTATTGAGCTATTTGACAAGAAGTATGTTTGTCAACATCACAGTCAGGTTTTCTACAGTAACCCAACTAACAAGCATGGTGGTGGCCACATCATGTTATGGGTTTGTTTCACAAACAGGATGAATTAATTGACATAAAAGACTTTCAAATTAAGAGGTTGATGGTTGAAATGTGGACAAAGATGATTATTTGAAAAGGACAACGTAAATCAAACTGGTTTTGGAGAAGCTAAAGCCAAACAACAATGAGCTTTGTGAATAAAAACTACATTAAAACTGGCTCCCTGCCAGAAAAGCAACTAGTTCTCTGTCAATTCTGCCAAGAAAACATGCTCTAATATTGAACCAAAATGACACCAGTAGGACATTAATGACAATAAAAGTGCTTTCTTCCCTTCTTCTGCACACATTTGAGATTGTACATAGGTTTTTCACCTTGTGTGGATCAGAGAATATGTACCATAAATTTAAACTTTTTTCTTAAAAAATGTGGTCATTATTTTCACAGAAGTTCAAATAAATCATTAACAGTCCCAAAGTGTTTGCTGCATACATGCTTATGATAAAT